CTAATGTATGTGCCAGACCTATTTTATAGAAGCCAAGGGGCAGCCTCCAAGTCTCCGGCTCCCAGAAGTCTTCTTTATGGAAGAAGCATCTCCATAAATCTCTCAATGCTTTATGCCAAGTTAGAATTTCTCTTGGGAATTTCTGAGTTTGTGTAAGAGTTTCCTTTAAAGGCAATTGATGAACTATAGATGTCAGGCAGGTTTTCATTTTCTGTGTGCTTTTTATTTCATCTAGAACCAACAGTGGCCTTTAGAATTGGATTCTTTTCAGAGACTCGCTATAGAAAAGTTCAAAAGCTCCAGGTTGGAGGAGCTCAGGGTTCATCTGAGTGTCAGAAATGACCAATTCCGGCTGGGCGCAGTGGTTCACACCTGTAATCCCAGCCCTATGAGAGGCTGAGGCAGGCAGATCACTTGAAGTCAGGAGTTTGAGAACAGCCTGGCCAACATGGTAAAACCCCTGTCTCTACTAAAAATACAAAAAAAAAAAAATTTTTCTGGGCATGGTGGCACGTGCCAGTAATCCCAGCTGCTTGGGAGACTGAGGAAGGAATATCCCTTGAGCCTGGGAGGTGGAGGTTGTAGTGAGCCAAGGTCACACGCCATTGGATTCCAGCCTGGGCAACAGAGTGAGACTCCATCTCAAAAAAGAAAAGAAAAGAAAAGACCAATTTCATCAGTACTGCTCTGTTAGAAAAAGATTGGGTAGTTCTTCGGTTGTGTAAGACTGTCCTATGTACTGGAGGACATTTGCACTTCTAGCCTCATCCAGAAAATGCCAGGAGCATTCACCCCAGGCACTGTAACAGCCAGAGGTGCCTGTGGCCAATACTCCAAGCCCTCCTGGTTAAAAGCACCAGCAAGGCTATCTCTGAAAAAAGGTGAACTGGGGCAAACACCACTGAATTTCACAATCAGTGAGGGGTCAGTCTAGATGGGCACCCTCTTCCCACTGTAAGCTGCTTCCTAGTCTTGTTGCCTTTGATGATCTTTGCCTTCAAGTTGGGTGTGATACAACATTTGTTTTCATCTCTGATTCCTGCCGTATAAAAATGGGGGCAATGGGAAGCAGAAAGGAAATACTGAAATTTTCCCTCGGCTTATAGCCTTCCAATAAGGATACTGTTCTATGGAATGACTTTCAACTTTTTATCCAGTTAATGATCAGGAGAGTTTACTAGATGTAAGTTCCCAAGCCCAGCAAGCAGAGTATGGGATAAGAGATGGAAACAGGGACAGAAATAAATGGATCTACCAGGACCCAGACATTGGGGTGCAACTAGTGGGTCTTCTCCACCTTTACAATGCATCAGTTCTAACTTGCTTGCAGATTCCTTAGTACTACTCATCTGCCCTACAAGGCATAGTGGGTTTTCTCTGATTTCTAGAAATGTCAGCATTCTCTGCAAGGTGAACGGCCAGAGTTGGGTTCTTCTAGTCGGGTGGGGATTATATGACTCTCTGGGCCGTGGAAGAGCATGACTGTCTATCAGGAACCTTCCAGATAGGCTGTCAGATGAATCAGCATCTGTTCATGCCCTGCCTTGCTTCTCTTGGGCAGGACTGCATCACATGCCAACGCCCAGGCTTACAGGCCAACTATTCCCACCCTGCATCCCGCCCGCCCCACTTGCTGGGGAGTGCTCTCCACAGCTCTCAGTGCATCCTGTTTGTTTAGACCCCTTTGTCTTCCACTGGCACAACTGAGAGAGAGGATTCCTCCATGTCCCTTTGCTTTTGGCTTTGAAATCAGATCCTGGCACACCTGATTACACTCAATAGCTGGAAGTGGTAAGGATGTCTGATGGCAAAGAGCTCTTGTTTTAAGCTCTGCATGCCAGGAAGGCAGGGGGCTGGGTCTCCTTCTCTGGGCTACACTGGACGGGGCAGGATGCTCTGGCAGAGGAAGCAAACAGTGTTAACTAAAGGGAAATGCGCTTGAAAAGGAACTTGGAGCACAGGCAGTCAAGCCGTGTAGAAGCGGTAACTGAGGACAGCTGTGGAGCTGAGACCCCTTCCTCTCTGCTCATAAGCCCCTAGATGGGAAACTTTCAGTTCCGCCCAAGGGAACCAGGAGGGTCAAACCTGTCTGTCTTGCCTTTTCTGTAGAAGTGTCAGCTCTGAGGCCTCAACTAGCTGGAATAAATAGTGACTTACCTCTGACCACAGTGAAAAACCCATAAAGCATTTGGACACTAAGGGCAGCCCCTGTGTTCTCAAGGGACCCTCAGCCTCAGACACTGCCTCCTTTCAAGCAAAGATGCTACCCTAATGCACAACTCCAGTGGCTTGAAGAATCATTATGAAAATTTCACACAAACAAAAAGGCACAAAGAGCATCCATGTACCCATACCCAGCTTAAGAAATGAAATGTTACTGATGCAGTTAAAGCTGCTTTTGTTCTTCTGGTCCCATCCTCCCATCCTGGCTTCCCCAGCTGCAACCACTCAGTCATTGACAAGCGGTGATGGGTGCATCCCTCTTTGGAATTACTTTAGCTTTTGGAACTTCAGTGTATTCATTGGTAAAGGGGGGCTATTGAGAAAATGAAGGAAAATGATGTATGACAAATATTTGGTGATCGTTCCTATGAAAAGAAAAAAGTCAGCAGAAAAAAATGGGTCAAATGGAAGGCCTTTCTCAGCCTGGCCCCAACTTGCCCGGACAGCCTCCCGTCTCCCCTCTGCAGCGATGTTCACCAGATATGCCACCTGTGTCCATGCCTCTGGGCTGATGTGGATGCTATGCTTACTTGCCTGCAACGCTGATCTCCTGTCACCATCTTCCTTTAACTCTGGGGTCCACTGTCCCCAACTCTGACAGGGCCTAGAGGCAGTGACTCCTGGGTGCTACCATGGTCTGATACCTCTGTCTGAGCACCTGCCATATGGTTGTGATGTTCCTGGTGTGTCTGCATTGCTTTTTCACTGAGGTGCTTATGCAGCAAGGTAGGGGCAGGGTCTTCTCCAGCCAGTGGCCTGGCCCATTGCCTGCTGGCACATGGCAGGACCATATGCAGTGAATGAACGAATTCCATTCAGAACATTTGTGATCCATGGAAGGAGATAAAAATATCAACATAAACAGGAGTTCAGAAGAAGTTGATTTCCACCATCATGAATGACTTCAAGGGTTCAAGTGCACGAGTGAATGACAGTTCCATCAACAGACTGTAACTTTCCACCCTAGTTAACGTAGGATGTCTCCATGTCCTCAGTTCTCCCTATGGGCATTTTTCTCTTTGAAGTTCCAAATCTTCTTGTTCTGGAAACACAAAATTACAAGTTCTGTCTCAACTGTTCAAATGAGGTTGGAACAAATAGAATGGGGGCATGAATATTTTTCCCCCGATAACTTCAATAAACAGCAGTTTTAGCCTCAGTGGGTTTTATGCAAGCCTTGAACATCTTTTTCTAGGTATCGTGACACTTGTGTTCTTTTTCTTCTTGCAGCCTGTGGAAATTCCTAGAGACAGAAAAATGTGCAAACCTGTTCATCTTGCTGAGAAAAATCCGCTTTACCGCCACAGAGCAAAATGTTGGGAAACAGTCTGGTGGTGAAGGTGTTCTCACCCACACCCATTGTTCTTTGCTAAACGTTTGTTTGCTACGTGTAGACTCAGCTTTAGTCATGGAATTTTAGAGGATGTGTCTCAGAAGTGGGATCAAGACAAGCCCAACAGTAATCTGCACCATACGCTGATCTGAAACCATGGCACCAACAATGGGCACACAGGTCTAACCAGGAAGGGAACAGGAAATGGGAACGAGAGCCGGGGTTGGGTTGTGTGTGTGGAACACACAGGTATGTTTTTTTTTAACTCCCTCTTTTTAAAACATTTCATTTTTGTGGAGGTGAAATTTATATAAGACGAAATTAACCACTTTTAAGGAAACAATTCCATGGCAAGTAGATTTCATCATGATGTGCAACCAGCAGCTCTGTCTAGTCACAAATGTTTTCATCACCCCAAAAGCAAGACCCATAACCATGACGCAAATGTTCCCCATTTCCCCCTCCTCCCAGCTCCTGAAAACCTGCCAATCTGCCTTGTCACTGGATTTACCTATTCTGGATATTTCATATAAATGGAATCATATAGTATGTGACCTTTTGTGTCTGGCCTCTTTCACTAGTATGTTTTCAAGGCTCCTCCATGTTGTAGCATGCATTCTGTTTTATGGCGGAATAATATTCCACCATCAGGATATACTGCATTTTATTCATTCATCCATCAGTGGTCATTTGGGCTGTTCCACCCTTCAACTATTGTGAATATTGTGCTGCTATGAACTTGTGTACACACGTATTTATTTGAATACTTGTTTTCAATGTTTTTAGGTATGTACCTAGGAGCAGATTTACTAGTCATATGGTGATTCTGTGTTTAACTTTTTGAAGAACTGCAATGCTATTCTCCACAAGGCTGAACCATTTTGTATTTCCATCAGCAATGTATGAGCACAGGTGAGATTTTTGGGGAGTCACGTTTTAAAGTGGCACAAGACCCTTCTAAGAGGGCTGTGTTCCATGCACACAAAACTCATAGTCTCCATGTGAAGACACAAATTTTGTACAAACCTGCAGGCAGAGAAAGGGGAGAAAATGGAGCCCTCAGCATATAAGTTGAAGGATGGTTCAGAGAGCAGTGGACATCACCCATCACCTTGCTGCGCTCTCCATGGCTAAGCAAGAGGCAGACCGGAATTCCACTGGCTACTTTGTCTTGTTTTCACTTCTTTCCAGTTAGTCCCCACTACTGTACCCTTTCCACAGGACTGTAGGGTTATGGTGACTTTCCCAACCCTAGCCAGGTTCCAGTGGTGAGGGACTCTGTGAATATGTGATCTAGTGTTAGAATCCCAGATTTGTGTTCAGAATCCCAGACTGAACTCTACACATGCTACTCGTCAACATCTGTGAGCCAGAAATAGGAGGAACACCTTTAAAAAGAAACCTACAAACACAAAGTTATTCATAGACGCTGTTGAGGGGTAAAGCAGGGCCACTACCTGAGCCCCATGCAATTAGACTCATCACAGGGAAAGGGCATAACACTGGCTTTTTTCTTAAAACCACCTGGAAGAAGCTGAGCCCTATACTAAATTTATATATTAGTATGATTTGATTGGAAGGACAAAAAACACACTGTATTAGGATCTGTCTTCCCTTGCAGTCTGGTAGTATAACTGTCAGCAATTTTGGAGGAAAGCCCTTCCTGACAGGGGACTGGGAACCCCTGGGAAATGTCTTTCCTATTAGATATGGATCTTTATGGTTGAATAAGGGGCTGAAGGAGGAAACAGACAACAGGGGTCAGAGAGCAAGGCCAGGGGAGGCCTTTGAGACAAGACAGGAGTTGTGCCCCCTTTTCAGTGAGTCTGGGGCCTCTGGAGGTTGACAAGAAGAGGAGAAGGTGAAGGGTTTGAGCCCTGAGAGAATGAATGCTTCCTGTGGGACTTTGCCAGAAGGGAGCTCATCACACGTGAGTTTTTGCACTCATAAGCCTAAGGGGCACAATGGGCTTTGAAATCCCAACATCTCCAGCTGAGAACAGGAAGCCCTGGGACTCAGCTTGAATTTGAGTCCTCCATTGGATGTAGTGGGTGCCTGCTTTTCACTAAGTGGAAAGAACTTGTTTTCACTTGCTGCCAATGAGTAAAAACTGAAGAGCTAGATTTTTCTTTTCTTTGAAGGTGTTAGTTCATAACCCCTCCTTGAGACTAAGCAGAGAACCAGTGATACTACCATGGAGAGGAGTGGGCCCCTCACCAGCCCCAGGTCATAATCAAACGAGCTATTTTGCAGGATTAGTGGATGCAGTAGGTTGAATAGTGGCTCCCAAAAATCTATGTCCATGCCCCAACACCCAGAATGTGTAAATGTGGCCTTATTTGTATGAAGGGCCTTTGCAGAATTAATTAAGGATATTGAGATAAGATCATCCTGGACTACCCAGGTTGGCCCTAAATCTAATGACAAGGGTCCTGGAGAGACACGGAGGGGGAAAGACCCAAAGAGGAGGAGGCAGTGTGACCATGGAGAGGCAGAGACTGGAGTTAAGCAGCCCCAAGCCCAGGAACACCTGGAGTCACCGGAAACTGGAAGAGGCGAGGAAGAAGTCTCCCCGAGAGCCTTCATAGGGAGCATGGCCCTGCAGACATCTTGATGTGGGGCTTCTGGCCACTAGGACTGTAGAGAATAAATGTCTGTCGTTTTAGGCCACTCTGTTTATGACAGATTGTTGCTGCAGCCCTAGAAAACTAATGCAGTGAGGCTGCCCAGCGAGATGAAATGACTGGAGAGAGAAAATCTGGTCATCTAGAAAACAGAATTCATCCCCTGGATTTGCTGCCAGGGTCTGAGGTGAGCTAAACATTGTACTGCGGAGCCTCTTTCCTCTTGCATTCCTCATGCGTTAACTGCTCATGGCAGAGATCGGGGCTCACGGTTTGACACTACTCAGGACCAAGGAAGTTCGATCAGATCCTCACATCTATTTGATATGGTGGCAATAATAATGAGCACATTCTATAGAATGTTTAACATGTGCTAGGTATGTCACATGTATTATATCATTTAATCCTCTAAACAATCTGATGTGGTTGCTATACTCATCGCCCTCTTACAGATGAGGAGGAAACTGAGGCTCTAGGAGATCATGTAATCTGCTCAAGGTCATTTGGCAAATGCTACTGGAACCAGACCTTGACCCCAGGTTTGCCTGTGCTTGATCCACACTATTACAAAAGGTTCTAGCCCCACAGAGATGGTCAGGCCAGCATCCTGTAGCACTCAACTGCTGGATGAGAAAGGATGTATTTATTTATGTATGCATTTTACTAGCAGCACTGGCATTAGCGTTTCTTTTTGTCAGTGAGGGTTGGAGTTACGGGGTCGATTGAGGTGAAGGTTGCTGAGGTGACCTGGTGGATCCTGCTAACAGCAGATGGATGTCAAAACATTTGCATTCAGGGGGAGATAAAGTCAAAACTGGGGCCAATCAACTTTCTCTCAGCACCAAGGCTCTGAGGTCCTTTCTTGGCTCTCAGCCCTTGGGAGCTTTTTCCCTTGGGAAAAGAGAACCCCCTACCACATGATCTCTCTGGTATGAGAAGCTGACAGTCCACTGCTAAGCTTTCCCCGCATTGCCACAAATAAAGGGCACCTCCCAACACAACTCCCTCTCCTGCTGGAATGGGAAGAGAGGACACCGGCTGTTAAGAAAACTCTCATGAGCGCCTGTCCTGGGGCAAACTCACAGTTTCTGGAGTCTCCTCTTACAGGGCTAAACCCAGGTGGGCTCTGACTGTTTAGGGTCCCTGTGCCTCTCACAGTCATGTTTTCAGATTTTTGGGAGATCTGGGTTGGTCTCCCTTTTGCCATGGTTCACCCTGGGGTGTGGCCAACATGGCAGCGTCTCCTCTGCCCTCCCAGATTCCAGGTTGGAGGGAGTTCAGCTTCGGGGAGACAGTCCACAGGCCTGCAGATTTCCTCCCATGCAGACCTCAGTGCAAGATAAAGTCAGGCAAGGCTCTGCCACAGCACAACAGCATAATAAATCCCCCTCTGGCTCCTCCCAGACTTATTGTTCTATTGAAGTTGTTTTGAGTATGATCAAAAGGAAGGAAGAGACTGTGCTATCAGACCGAGGAAGAAGGATGCTCTCCTGACCGCTCCTGTTGCCCTTGGCCACCCTTATTTTAAATATGAGGAAACCAAAGGGCAACATGCAGCCTAACCCCATCCACATCATGGGGAGCGACGCACCGAGGCCCAGGCCCCGTGAACCTTTGGCGAGGCAGCAGCCCCTGCACAAACTCGCCAATGGCTACTTTGGATGTGCAGCCCTGTCCTTTTACACACATCGTGGAGGCTGGAAGGCCCACGCACAGAGTCAGCGGCACTTTGGGGCCAGAGCCAGAAGTAGGCCCTGGAGCAACTGAGGTTGCTGTTGTTAGCCCCTTGGCCTGAGAACTAAGGCTGTCAGGCCACAACTGTTGGAAATAATGGGCCAGACCAGGAACTCCCCAAGCTCAGCTGGCCGGGTGCCCACTTCTGAAGACAGTCAATGGCTCAAGTTCTTGGGAAATGTCAACATCAGGGCTTTTGGGCTTGCCTATGTCCAGTCCAGGTTCGGGCACAGGCATAGGGTGATGTGTGACATCGGCCATCACGGCTGGATTCCTGCAAGGAACTAGAGCAGAAAGCACTGGGCTGCCCCAGGCTTCAAAGGTAGAAAGGGCGGAGCCGAACGTTCCTCTTCACAGACTTGCGGGCTCACGCAGCTCTCTGCCCTCACGGAGAGACATCTGCCCTGCTCAATGCCCAGTCTCTGATTCGCCAGGTGCCTGGCTGCTGCAGCCTGGTCACCTTTGTTTGGGCTGGAAGGCCATGTCTGAGCCATCAAAGGAGCCTCCATGGGAGAGTACGTCAATGTGCTTCCTCAACCAGAAAGGTGGTTTGAGTTTGGCCAAAGCAGCCCAACCAAATAAGCAAAAGCCTGTCAATGGGAAGATGTGGGCTGCTGGGAGATCAGACAACAAAATGAGAGCCATTATCAGTCTCATCCCAGCCTGAAGGAGGGAGGGCCTTTGAAGCCACAGACAGGCTGAACAGAACTTTCCACCTGAGAGACGCTGGAGATGGGAGGTCAGGCTGCACGCAGCCCCCACGAAAACTGATCAAAGCCTACTGCAGAAGGGAGGGGTCGCACAGCTGCAAATCCAGCTACCCCCCCGGGCTGCCCGGGACTTTCTGAAGGCAAGAGGGCTGCCTTTGCAGGGCCCTGTGGGAAAACCCAGCACAGATGCACATTGCAGCCAAACCCCTGAGCACTGCTGGGAGAGGGAAAAATAAACCCCTCAATAGTCCTGAAAAGAAAAGGGAGGGAATCAAAGCACACAAAAAATGCAAAGACCACCCACCTGATGAGCGCCTACCTTTCGGAAACAAATAACTCCTGACTTCCAAGGCTCACTTCTAAAAGAACAAACGGACTGAACACTCTGCCTCAAAGCTCCGTGCACCAGGGGATTTGTGGGAAGCCGTGGCCCCTTCTAAGCATCGGAAGCTTAATTTAAAGTGTGTTTGGCCTCTGCGGTGCCTATTCAAGGGCCCCTTTGCATCCGCTCTCCTCCCTGGGAACCCGGGAGACAAGAATCCTCATTTAGAAAAGGAGAGGATCCCGTATGGACTCCTTTATCATGGTTCTCTCTGACAGGACAGCCGTATCTGCCAGGGAACATTCTGGGGGGCATCTTTCAGGCTAGATCCAGGGTGAGGTGGGCCCCTGCGATGGCACCTTGGAAGGCAGTGTTGGTTCTGCCTGGACGGGTCCCTCTGGGACAGCCTCAGCCCACCCTGCCTGGGCTCACCTCTCCTCCCTGTGGCCTGAAGCCTCCTTTGGAGGACTGACACTTCATGGACCCTGCAGTTTAGAGACAGACAGCAAAACCACTTCCACTGCACTGCTCACTGTCTCAAAAGAATAGGAAAGCTCTTCTCTCCTCCTTGGGAATGGGTTTGGAGGGAGGGTGGAGGACGTAATGATGGGGAGGCTTTGCAGGTACTTTGGTGGAGGAGGGTGTGTATGAAGGAGATGGGTCGCCCAGAGCACAGGGGAAATTGACATGAGAACATTTCAGAACCACTGGTTTAACCGGCTAACATTCTTTCCAAAATGATGGACAAGTCTTTAGAAGTAGACAGAGGGCCTCAGGGAGGAGAAACATTGCCGAGAAAGAGGCATCTCTCTTCCCCCTCCTCCAGAGGCTGATGCTAGAGAGAAGGCGGCAAGGCCTCACTGAGCGCCTACCCACCACTCAATAGATTTCTATCTCTTTATTACTTTACCCTAGGAGATGAATGGGGTTATCTCCATTTTACAGTTGACAAACAGAGATTCAGAGAGGTGACTGAGCCTCTTCCTATGGAAGTGGACCCATATGGAAGTGTTGAGCTGGAATTCAACCCTCAGGCAGCCTGGCTCCAAAGTTCACAACCTTTCCTACTCATTTCAGCCCTTCCCTGCCTCTCAGGGCTGAGAAGATGTTAGTAGATGTTCCATAAACGTTTATTAAATTGAACTGAACTCAGCAGCTGAACACACGCAGGCCTCTTCCACCCTGACCAAGAGGAATCCTTTGAGGGTCTGGGATATGGAAAGAAATTCTCAAAGATGCTAAATAAAATCATGCTCTGAGGTACAAGGAGACCTTTTTTTTTTTTGAAATTAATAGCTAATAAAGTTTATTCAGACCCCAAAAAGGAAAAACAGAAAGGAATTGGAACCATTTTAAAAACAGAGTCGGTAGATAATAAAACTTCATGGTGGTGGTGTTATCTTTCATCAGGAAGCACAAAGTCTTCACAGGCTTTAATTATATCTTCATCCCCACGGTCCCTTCTGAAGTTGGTAGATGCACGTTAATAGCACCTTTCATTTTAGGTATGGACACATTCCAGTACCAAAAGCTTCAGGAGTTCTCCCCAAGGCAAGCAGGGTACAGAGCTGGATCTGGAGCAATGACTCCTTCTCCAAGCCAGCATTCCATGCTACCTCCAGTTGTACTTCTTGACTCCGCAGCTGAAACCAAGGACTTCATTGAGATATTTGGGGATAGGGGGATCTGAAGGTCCAGGAAAGAAGGTAGGCAAAACCAAGGAATTAGGTCTCCATTTTGGCCGGCACACCATATAAATCCCCGCTTTGTTCACCCATCTGCACATTCTTTAATTTAGGCATGTGTTCATTTGTGTACATCAGTGAGTTTGCTCACAGTCACAAGGGTGCCGAAGGCTGAGCTTGGCCACTCACTTTAGGTAAGGCCACACCAATTGGTGCCTCCGATCATGAAGGGTGGAGAAAGGCATCTGGGCTGGGCCCATTGTGACTCTCAGGAGGGAAACTCTCCCAGTGGACTCTGGGGCCGGGATGTGGAGGCTCAGACAGCTAGAGATGGGAAAGGGAACTTAAATTGCAAAGGAGTAATCTTTTGTTTTGCTAGTTCGTTTTCAATCATTTCCCAGCCTAAAAAAGAATTAATAGTAATAATAGCATATGGCTTTTTAATGGCTCTCCATCGCCAAATACTATTTAAGCACAAATTTCTTCACTAGACACTGGCGCTCAGTCTCCACACTTGGAGGTGTGGCTCCATCTGGGACTCCAGTCTCATTTCTTATTCTTAATTTCTGTACAGTTATGCCCAATTTTTGAACTGCGGACCTGCAAGAGAACAGGGAGTTTCAGCAAGGGGTCCATAACTGTGAATGCCACGCCAAACATGGGCAGCAGCTGAAATCAACAGTATATAAAACTCAGGCTAATTTGAAAGGCTGTCAAACTTCTAGCAGCTCCTTGTCATTATGTGTTTTCCTGGATACAAAGTTTGACAACTGTTAAAAGAAAAGGCCTGCATTGTGATCACGGTTTTCAACCTGGGATCCAAGGACCCCCTCAGAGAGTCCCTGAAGTATAGATGGGGGAGCACGAGGATGGATCAGGAGCAGATGGTGACACCCCATCCCCGCACACACACAACTAACTTCTCCCTGTAACCAGAGAGACTGTTTGGATCAACTCTGTACACTGGGCTTTCTAGTAAGATTTTATTTGAAGAAAGGACCAGGGAGGTGAGTGGGATCGAATTTGCAAGCGATAGCTGCAGACTAACTACATGTATTTCTAGCCAGTCCCTTGCTACAGTTCTGTGAGGCACAATGAGAAATCTGTCACACACCACAGTTCCCTCATAGTGTACACCGCCCCGGGGTGTACACTATGAGGGAACTGTGGTGTGTGAGTGATGCAACAGAGACATTCTCTCTGTCCAGATCCACATGGTAAGAACCCTGGGTTTGTTAATGTCTTAGATGCATTAAGTCCCATCTGGCTCTTAGAAATAGCAAATGAGCTTGCAGATTAGCCAATCTTACTGTCAATGCAAAGGCAGTGTCCACTTTGCATATGTACTGCTAAGGGAATCATTAGAACATTCACTGCTGTTGAGGGTCGGGTGGGGACTTCTTTATATACCAGCTTTTCTTGTGGGCCAAAATTCCTAGAGAAATAGTGGCCACTTGGGGCCCATTTTTATCTCCTTCAGTTTCTGCCCAAATTTGTCTTTGCTTATGTAGCTGGGGCTTCCCACGCAGGCTCTCGGGACACAGTTTGTCCTCAAGCAGGCTGGGCCTAGAACAGCTGTAGTAATAAGAGGTGACAAAGCAGAACTTTGAGACAACTTGCACAGATTCTTTAGCTGAGCCTCCGTTCTCCCAGCCAGGTTTCAGACAGGGTGACACAGAAAGAAGGCTCCGAACAATCCCGAACAGTGCCCATTAGCGGGTGAAGCTCAGGCAGGAGATGGGAAGGGATGCCTTTATCTCTGCTTTCCACCCTGCCGCCCATACCTCACTCTCAAAAGCCACCTTCCCAGCACTCAGACTTGAGGTAAATGCTACAAAATGGGGTGGAAACCTCTCATGACCTCCTCTCTGTTGCATGAATGCCTGTTAGAAGCAAAGGAAAACAATAGCAAACAGACCCAGGCCTGTCACAGCTGTGCTGGGCCCAGCTGGAATGTGGCTGTGTGTGCGCGGGCATGTGTGCGTGCACGCCGGTGCACACATGGGAATATAAACATCCTTGGCTCCCCAGCTCCTGTGTGCTGGACTGTGCTGAGCAGGCACAAGATCTGCGCGGATCCAAGGTGGGGAGGGACAGCCCCAGCACACCTAGGTGCTCTTGTTTATATATCGAAATGTGGGTGGGCAGACAAAAGAGAAGGTTTGGGAACGGCCGTGTCCCCATGTATGTATGGGCAAATCTCACTGCTGATATGTCTTGGGGGAAATTGAGGGAAATTTTGTGCTTGGGTATGTGTGCATGCCTGGCAGGTGCCCACACTCCAGTGTGCAGAGGAGGAAGCCGAAAGAAAGTTTCGAGATTCTGTGAACAATCTCAGTTAGAAAAAAATCTGGCAACTCCCCATACCACAGGTGGGTACACATTCAGTGCTTGTGAAGTTCATTTCCTGTGCTAGTTTACCAGGCCTTGTTTATACAGGACACAAAATGTGATTGGTAGCAAAAGCTCCAGGTCTCCGGGGTGAGTTGAGGGCGAGTGCGTTTGCAGAGGGGCTGGGGAAGGAGTGTGGGCATCACGCCCAGGTGCCCGTGAAGTACAAATGAAATCAATTTTCAACATTAATCCATAATTCTGCCAATATATGTTCAGAGGGGAGACAAAGCAGAGCTCTGATTTTGGAATGACGCCTTCCTTCATTGCTGCAGTGCCGTTTCAGCACCTAATCTGCACGGGCCAGTGGCAGCTCGGGTGCCCTTGTGTGTGTTCATGGGTTTGAAATGCATCTAGCTGGCTCTGCTTTAAGCTTTAGTTTGTGAGCCCAGCCCCAGGAAGTGTTTATGAGCTTTTGCTCTTAGCTTTATTCTGACTCAGCTTTGTTTGGTAGCGCAGAAGGGTAGAGTTTGACATAAATCCTCTGTTCTTTGTGTGAGGGCTTCAGATTGCAGAGGGTCCTAGGAGTGGCATTCTGTAGGAAAGTTGAGGAGTTTGACCCAAACTCGTGATTACACACCTGCAAGTGAAAATTCTGCACACCTCGATATGGGAAGAAACTGCGCTCTCTAAACAAACTCCTGGGCACGTGACTGCCTCAGAGTCTCCTTGCCAGTTTGTTCATCCAAATGGTGAGCAGCTCACAATAGACACTCAGTGACTGCTAATTCACCGTGGTATGTTTCATTCCACTGCATTACAAAGTGCCAGCGTCACTCCTCAGCATAGCTCGGGACCTTGTCCAGTCAGCTGTCCTGAACACCCACTTTGGTCCACGGTTCACATTTGTGGGATAGTTATGAGCCTCTGCCCTTCTTCCAGTCTTGACTTAAGGAAGCAATGGCAAAATCTCCTGGCTGTTGGGTTCCATGGAATAGAAAGCCTGAATCCACCTGGAAACCAAATCTAGACAAAATAGAGCTTTGAGGTTTACACCCGCAACCCTGTGCTGTCAGAAGCAGAGGGTACCAGGGGATGCACTGGAGGCTCCCTGGGAGGCAGAAGCCAGAGGTGCTGTGCCATGTTCTCCATCTGGCCAAGGGCTTAACGCTGCTGAAGACTATTTCTGAGCAGAGTCCCCATGATGAGGGGACCCAAAGATGCTGATGGGGTCGTTTCCCAGGCTTTGCCTTGGTCCAGTGCAGGGCTTCAGTTGCTGAGGGTGATGGCAGTTTGCTTTATACTTGGTCCCTGCTCAGTTGGAGTCCTCTGCTACCCTCTGGCAATTCAAAACCTCTAGTCATTTGGAGACCTCTGAACAAAGCAAAACTCTAAAAACTGGGACCCATGGCTCCTCGATGAATTCTGAAACCGTGTTGAGGTACTGCCTAAAATTCAAGGAGAAGCTTACCAAGGAAAGGGGATTTCAGGGCAGCAATGGAAATAGAGACAGTGAGGTACAGGCCACTTGCTATCCCTTATAGGAACTTTCAGCTCCTGTTAGCCAGAGACCTTTTCAGAGTCAACATTCTGTGTAAGCCAGCACGGCACGCTGCTGGTCTGCGATTCTGTTCAAGGCCCAGACATAACCAGCCTTCAGGGGGGTTCCAGACCACTGAGATCGCAGCCTGGGGTGACATCCTACCTTGGCTGGAAAGGTCTCCACCCCAGGCCTGGTCCTCCAGGAAATGGTTCCCGTGGGGAGAGCTCCTACTGCTTCAAGACAGCAGCTTCCTTGGTGTCATCAGTTTACCTGCCAGTCTCGTCCTTCGGAGGGTACCAGTTTCTCTGGCTTCCCTGCCTGTCCCCAGAATGACCCCAAAGTTTATTTAGCCCCTGAAAGCCTTGGAAGTGAGGGTGCCTGCTTACTAGTGAATAGCATTTGCATTGGAGGTTCTTCACCCAGGGTTCTCTACAAAGGGTTGGCTTTTAGGGAAGGGCAAGGTGACCCTGCTTTGTCTTCCTGAAGCACCACATGTGCCTCTATATCACTGTGCCTGTCATGCAGTCATCATCCTCTCCTTCCTTGTCTCGGCCCCACTAGCCTAGAAGCGCCTGAAAGGCAAGAGCTGTCTTAGAGGCACACTGGGAGAAGAGGGGGCCCCGGGTCCTGATTGAGTGGAGGCCTGCCTAGGGCCAGATGGCCTGGGCTTCACTAGCCACTGGGTCTGGATAAAGGGGGTTTTCAAGGGGTGAGTGTAGTCCGGCTTATCTGATTCTCATCCCTACTTCCTGATAGTACTGTTTTTCACCTTGGAAGTGAAGACACACTTCCCTGAGCCCCTCACTCGGTTGTCAAGTGGCTGTGTGGCACACGTAAGGGAGCCTTGCTATGTTAAAGCTCCCCAGCTCCCTTCATTACATCCCATGGACAAAGGACCATGCCATGACTCAGAGGCCCAGCTCTTTCTAACTATGCTGTTCCGTGAGAGAACTTTAGTGAGTTGCTTTATCTCAGTGACTCTGTTTCTTCATCTGTGAAATGGGAGTGTAGGGCTGTCAGGGCCAGTACTTGGAAGCTTAGCTGAGTGGCATGGTGTGGGCCTTCCGTTCTATTGTCATTGCTCAAATAAGCATGAAGATACTTTCCTGAAGAGGGATGTTTGGAAGGAAGGAACCAAGACTTTGGTATGGGGTGGGCATGGAGTAAATCCTAAATCTGTCACTTGTTAACAGGCTTGTAAGTCGAATTCCTGCCTAGTAAGATTTCAGATAGTTCTCTAGCCCAGGAGTCAGCAAACATTTACTGAAAAGGGGCAGATAGTGACTATTTTTGGCTTTACAGGCCACAGGGTCTCTACCACAACTGCAAGGCAGCCACAGACAATACGTAAACAAATGCACATGGCCCTGTTCCAGGAAGACTTTATTTACATCAGGCTGCAGGCTGGATTTGACCAGTTCAGCCATGGTTTGCCTCCCCCTGCTTTAGCTTGTGAGGGGTGCCCCACAAGCACTCGGGAAATTAATTTGTTGAACATAGGTGAGTAGAGGCCTCTGCCAGTCCAGATCTTCAATTTTAACTCTGTTTATACAGAGCCAGATTCTGTGTTCTTGCCACTGAGTCACAGCTGCAAGACCCTCACCTCCCCTTAGCCCTCCTCCCCCAGCTTTGAGTGATCCCAGGCTCCTTCAAGCCCGCTGCTGAGTGGGGAGCAGTTTCTGTGCCTTCCAGGATCTTCCGCCTCCCCCACCCTGCACTCCCCACCCAGGTCCTTTCCCTCCATCCTGAGTTTGTGGGACACACAATTTGTAATCTCCTTAAAACTAAAGAAGTGAAGTCTCTGATTCATGTAGATTAAAATCAGCTGCAACCTATTAATGGCCCAGGGCCCAAGACAGATTTTAGGAAACAAAAACACTGGACCAAATTAGACTGAGCCGGCCTCTGTCTCCAGGGAAGGGAGGTAAAGTAGGAGGCTGGGGGCGGGGGAGTGGCCATGTGGTTTTCATTACTTTGGATTCTCTTCCTGAAGCAAAGTCACCCAACACAAAGTGTGTGTAGCGCCAAGGCAGCGGCCAGCTCTGGAGCCCGGCTCTCCCTGGTAGAAGCCCTGGGTCCTGTTGGGGGGCTAGGGCTGGTTGTGTGTCTGTAATTAACAGGTTTCAAAGTGGTTATTTAGGAAAAGAGAATTTCAGTGGCGCGTTAAAATCCTTTCATCAGCCATCAGCTGGCGTCCGGAGGCCTTCAGCAAGGCCTGAGCCACTTAAAGCTTCTGAGAGCTTTAAATTCCCAGGGTCTTGTTTTGAGAATGTGGAGGCTTTTGCCATGGTTTTATTGGACTGATGGTTGCCATGATTTTCATTATGTTGTTTGGTTCCTGGGATCATAAAAATGTTTGTCCCTTCCTAGAGTACCTAGGATCATTAAAAAGAAAAGGAAAAAAATGCCCCTGTGTTTGTAGCCGCTACGTCACATACAAACCATGGCTTCCTTGTTGGAGAGGGGCCAGCTCCGGTTCTGGGCTGGGGAAAATCATAAAGCTGCAAGGGACAGGACAAGCAGCCACACCCAGTCCCCACCTCTCGCCCATCCGAGGACACTGAGGCCCAGAGAGATGCTCATCTAAAGCCGGTCTGGAATCCTGGTCCCACTCTCGGTCAGATGCTCTTTCTCTTCCTGGTGAGTCGAGGCTGTGAGTAGAGTTGGGAAAGGGAAAGGAGTCTGAATTCTGCTGGAGTAGTGCTTTGGGACTACTAGGAGTGGAAGAAGTGGTCAGATTTCCAGACAGCATAAAGTGAAATGTGAAGTAGATAGGAATGATCCGGGCCTGCATGGGCATTCCCTTGGCCTACTGGACGGAGCGCTCCTCTGAGGCTGGAAGGGCTGCCCTGAGACCCCAGGAGGAGGAGACGGGTTACTGGAGCCTTCACTTGGCACCCACAGCCCTGAGCCCTGGAAAGAAGGGAAACAGGTATCAAATCCCACAAGCCACAGAGATGATTTCTCACCACTTTGAATAGGAAACCTCTGAAATCTGGTCAAGCTCCCAGAATCACCATAGGGGGTGACAGGAATTTTGGTTAAGCCCGTATTATCTGATAAATGACACACCAACCTGGTGTTACTTCCTATTTTGATGATGGCTGCCTTCCAGAACCTTCTTTATGGAAGACATGAAAAATATTCTGAGAGAATTGCTATTAAATAACCTCTGGTTCTTAAAAACAAGGCCAGACCAGCAGGCCTTGCTCTCAGCAGGACACATGTAAGAACTAGTCTACAATAAAGAAGCTCTGAAGGTGTGTTCAGAGAATTAAAGAGTGTCAGAGCTGGGAGGGAAATTGGAGTTCAGCTAGGCCAGGCTTTCATTTTACAGATAGGGAAACTGAGGCCTCAGGGCTTATCCAAAGTGATCTAGCAGGCATAGGGAGTCCAGGATTTGCTTGACTATCCCATTCTTCATGAGACCACTGTTCCCCTTTTGGGTTGATACCAAAATTGGTATCAAAATTGGGTTGATATCATCATTCATTCATTCATTCATTCATTCATTCAGTTTTTACTACCTCCTATGTGTCAGATGCTTCTAGGCACTGCTAATTTTGTTTCTTTGAAGTTTTTAGTGGTGGAATAAAAGAGACACATTTCTGTCATTAAAGAAGGAAAGGACTTCCCCTCCAAAATCTAGGTTTGGGGAAAGTCTGGTGACTTTTGTGGGCCTGGAGCATCTTTGGGAAACACCTGCCCTCTTGGGTGTGCCTTTAAGATGAGTGCAAAATATCATTGTCAGGTAGAGAGGTGACTTGCAGTGACCCCTGCGCCCAATAGCCACCTGGCAGTGTGGCCCAGAGGAATCTGGAAGTGAACATCAGCAGAGATTCTCTGGATTGAAATTTGAGTGAGGGCTGGCGGGAACCCAGGCTAGCTGAAGGCTGCAGATTGCATGGGCCTCTCCGTCTGTTTCTCATCATTCTCCTCCTACAGTTTGCTTGTCAGTCCTTTGCTCTTGTTTACCTCTGTGTGGATAATTCCTCGATTATAAATCAGAGAACTTGGCACTGAGTTCTGGATTATCTGTGATCTTTAACTTTCCCAGGGCAAAAGAAATTAAACTGGCAAATCTCTTTGTTTCTCATGGTTTGGCATCCAAGTCATGGAAGTGCAGGTCTGTGTAGAGGGAGACAGCCTGAGCCTGCCTCTGCCCCCGGCCCCCACAATCTGTGCAGGCAGTCATGCATGCATGCATTCATTTATTCACTCAACAAATATTCAGTGAGCACACATGTGGCAGGCTCTATTCTAGAAACTGGAAATACAGGGTGAAAAAGGGACACTGTTCCTTCTTACCCTGTTTGCATCTTAGTATGGGTGATTGATAGTAAGCAAACAAATCAACGAACATACATACTAGTGATAAGTGCTTTGAGAAAAGTAAGCAGGGTAAGAGGTGGCAGTGAGGGGTGCACTATTTTACACATGGTGGGGTCAAGAAGACCTCTCTGAAGAGGTGACATTTGAGCAGAGATTGGATGAAGAGAGAGTAAGCAATGTTCAACCCAGAAAGATTTCAAGCAGAAGGAATAGCAAGTGCAAAGCCCTGCAACAGGGACAAGTGTGATGTGTTTGGGGAACAGTAAGGAAGCCAGGAACTGAAGTAGAGTGAACAAAGGGGACAACCGTGGTATACATGAGGTCAGAGCAGGGGGCAGGGGCCAGCATGGAAGTGGTGACTTTGGATTTTGTTCTGAGCTTCACAGGATGTCCTTGGAGGCTTTGGAGGAGAGTGATGTAGCAAAGAGGAACATTCAGAGGCTGTAGGGAGGCTCATGGAACAACAGGGGGCCAGCGTGGGTTAAGCACTGGCATTCAGACACACGGCAATGGTAGCTGTACCTCATGGGTGGTGCCTCCAGTAGGAACCTTTGAGAGCTACATGTTTTGACAGGGTGAGGCTGGGCCTGGGAGCACACCACCTCTCTACCAATTAGTGTTAAGCCCAGAAAAAGGAAATGCTACCGTTTAAATTGTAGGGTTAGAACCCGTGAGTCACAGAACCCTCAGCCAAGCAGGCCATGGTGGGCTCTGGGAAGTTACTGGGGCAGGGTCTCAGGCCCCCAGCTGGGTTGTTTGGCCACCCATGGGGGCTTCCAGACACATTCAGAAGAAGCAGGCCCAAATACGGACTCCACCTTTAGGGGATCTGGCTTAATTTTTGGCTGATTGTTTACTGTTTGGTCAGTTTCCTTCCAGGGTCTTTCACTTTGGAAAAGGCAGGTCACCTCACAGGGGAGCAGAGAGAAAAGGGGAAATGCGTGGATTTTGGGCTCAATCAGCCCCACAACGCTACCCTCACCCCATCACTTAGCTGGCTTTTGGAAAAGCTACTGAACCTCCTAGAGCTGTGCTGGTCAGTGCAGTAGCTGCCAGCCACATGTGGCTGTTTACATTTAAATCAATTTAGGTAAAATAAAATTTAAAAATCTGGTCCCTCAGTTTCATTTACTGAGGCTCAATAGCAACATGGGCTGGTGGTGACCTATTGGACAGTGAGATGAAGAAGATTTCCCTTGTGGCAGGAAGCTCTGTTGAACCGTTTCACTTCTTTAAAAGAGGAAGCAATCCATGAGAACTGAACAAGTTAACACACACAAAGCACAGGTGCTTTGCCTGTCTCATGACAGGTGCTCAGCAAAGGGTAGTCACTGTGATTGATCTTGTGAATCTCCATCCTTGCTCTGCTGCTGACTAGCTATGTGGCAAGTTATTCAAGCTCTCTGAGCCTCCATTTTCTGATATGTCAAATGGGAATAAAAAGTACTGCGGAGCACATTCCCACAACATAACATGATCCTTGTTTTTCTCAGTTCTCTCTGGACACGTGAGAACTTCCTTACCAACCCTCAGCTGATTTATCTAGACCAGGGTTCAGAAACTCCAGTCTTGCGGCACTTGGCGGGAAGCAGGACATACTGTGTGGCTCAATCATGCAACCTGGAGATTTTGGCCATTTTAAAGGCTTTGACCAGGGTTAGCGGTATGAAGTTCTATTGATACAAGTGGACAAATCTGATCAAGAAAAATAGTCATTTGATTCAAGTCAGATACTTACCCTGCTCTGTTGCTCTGAAAGACACCATGCCTTGGGTCCCTCAACTCCACGCCCTGGCTTCCCTGGCTAAACATTCCTACTGACTGTGGGCGTGGCTCTGAGAGGTGCTCTCAAGCAACCCTTCTAGTATCTCGGCCTCCAATCAGTCTTCCTTTTTCCACTTGGGGTTTTTGTTGTTGTTTAAACGTTTATTAACTGCAGGCTTTTGGCGGGTGGAAGTTGGGATTTGCCTGGGGCTGGAAGGAAGTTATTTGCCAGGCCAGGATAAGGTGTGGTTTAAGAGTTGAAACTGGAATCCCCTTCACCTGCTTAATGCATTTCAGGGGAGATTTGTTTTCAACTCCCAAATTACCTGCTAGGAATTCTAGACCTGAGATCCTATCTCCACTGGCTGTTTTCTTTCATTTCCGATAAGAAATACAAAGAAAAAAGAGTGAAAGGCTCAAATACGACATTCTTGCACTCTCTTAAATAAAATTACAGACAGTGAGTGATTTTCTTCCCTGTCTTCTATAAAGCAGGTAGTGGGGGGGCCTGACCTAGCCCGGAAAACCTCTGTTCCTGGGGAGGTGTGGCTGGAATCTGCAGAGAGCAGGTTTAACTAAAGATAGTTCTTATGTGTTTGCTGGTTATTTGTGTATCTTATTGAAATATAATTTATCTTCAAATATTTTATGTCCAGTAATCTTACTGACCTTTAGTTTAATAATTTATTTGTAATTTTGGAGATGTTTTTCTATGTACAAATCAGACAAAGGTTATGGGGAGTGTTAAGACCCATAAAGGAGTCTCCAGCATACTGAAGTTCAGAAGAAACAGAGCTAGAAGGACCTGTGTCCAAGCTTGTGGAGGGCGAGTGGGCAAGAAGTTGTCTAAATGATGGTGTAACTGTGAGCAATAGGACAAAGACAGCAAAGACATTTTAGAGATATGGACCAATAATTTTTTTTTTTAGAGAGAGATAGGGTCTCCCTCTATCATCCCGGCTGGCATGCAGTGGCGCAATCACAACTCACTTGTAGCCTCAACCTCCTGGGATTAAGCCTCAGCCTCTCAAGTAGCTGGGACTATGGGTGTGCACCATCATGCCTGACTAATTTTTTTTTCTTTTTTTTTTTTTTTTTTAGAGATGGGGTCTCACTCACCTCTAAAACAAAGCTCATCTCAAACTCCTGGCCTCACGTGATCATCCCATCTCGGCCTCCCAAAGTGATGGGATTACAGGTATGAGCTACCCCACCCAGCTGGACCAATTTCTTTAGGCGGGCAACTTTAAATTATTTTGGCTTTAAGGACTTCTGTATATGCTTAACAGTTATTGATGATCCTGAAGAGCCTTGGTTTATGTGGGTTGTATCTATTGATAGATCCCGTGGTAGCCAGCTTCTAGAATAGCCTCCAAAGGTCTTATCTCCTACTATTCATGGCCTTGCGTAGTCTCTTCCCACATTGACTCAGGGCTGGTCTGTGCGACAAGTAGAAAATGGCAGAAGTAATGGTAAATGATTTCAGGGGCGAGGTTATAAAAGAGACTACTTGTTCCTACTTGGCCTCTCTTGTTCACTCTGGAGAAAAGCAGTTCCTGTGTTTTGAGTACACCAGGGAAAGACCTACATGGAGAAGGACCAGGGCCTCCTGTTCACAGCCAGCAACACTGGCCTGACTTGCAAATGAACTATCTTGAAGGCAGATCCTCCAGCCTCAGTTAAGCCTTCGGATGACTGCAACCTCATGAGAGACTGCCTCCCCCGAACTGCCTAGCCAAGCCACTCCTGAATTGCCTAACCACAGCAACCATAGAGATAACAAATGATTACTGCTGCCTGAAGCCTCTGTTGTTTTAGGGCACTTTGCTATATAGCAATAGATAATTAAATAATTTACCATATTAAAAACTAAAACCGAAAAGTAATATTTGTTCATTTAATATTTATTCATGATTAATGAATAAATTAACATTTAGTAATTTATTAAAATGCCTATATTTGTTAATTCATTTAAACATTAAAAATAACATTTTGTTATATAATAACTGTGTTTTTAAAAAGGAACCCAAGTGAGAAGAGTGACAGTGTTTCACATTTTTGCAAATCTCTTGAATGTCTGGCTTAATAGAAGACAGCTGGTTTCTCATATCGGCTTCTGCATTCAATCAGCTGTGATAATGTTGTTTTGGTTGAAGTACGTGAAGGAAACCCAGCCTCACATAGATATGTTGTTGGAAAAGGGAGGAATATTTTAATAGTCTTTTCAGATAATTGTGAATATTCTTCTTTGACATTATACCAAAACTCAACCAATAGTAGATTACTAAGGTTAGTTGCAATGTGGAATCTGAAACTATATCAATGAACTTTTTATGCTGTTATGTTAAAATTCATTTGTCTGGCTTGTACTCTGAATAGATCTTTGCTTATGCATGATTTTATAATACTATGCATGGGTCATTTGGAAAATATTACTTCACTAAGTCATGCAGATTTTTCTAATTTGATATATTTCATGATGAAAGCGAAAAGTTCTTATTTGTTAGTATCACCACTGATCTCATCAAAAACCTCTATAAATGCTGGGAAGGTGTTACATTCACTATGGCAGAGACAGGTTTTTAAAACTTCTAATTTCTGCTTCATATTTCTATTTTGGCAGAAAATACTGTCAATTATTGTATTTCTTGAAGTCATGAGCTCAGTTTGTTCATTTTTGAGAAAATGCCTGTCAAGTTACCAAATCTGAATTAGCGTGCGTTATTTGGTCCTTTTGGGTAAACACTGTGTTCCATGCAGGTGGCTGGTGCCGCTCACAGCTCAGGACACTGACCAAGTGCTTTTCCTCCAGATGACCATCACACTTCAGGATGCACCGGAAATACTTGATACTTTCTTTCCAAGTCATCACACAGAAGAAAGAGAAAGAAACAGGGAGAGAGGGAGCGGGGAGGAAGGAAAAAAGGGAGGAAGGAGTACACTTTTGGGCTAGGTTTCATAAAAGTAATAATTTTTACTGTCTAATTTACACAATCAGGCATGATTTTGTAAAGCAAAAACCTTTCATTTTATTCTTCAGTGAAACTGGCTTTTTTTCCCCCCTGTAAGTTTGTAGCAGTGAAGGATACCATGACTGCCAGTATAGTCCGGCGCCAGCAATTTTAACCAGACGTCAACACAGAGAAGAAGGCAAGTAACATCTTGGTATTATTATGAAAATAGTTTTGAGCTTGCAGACACCTGTGATAGGGTCTTGGGGATCTCTGGGGATTGCAGACCTCTCTTGGAGAATCAGTGCTTTAGGAGATGGCGGACATTCTACTACTTGTAGTGTTTACAGGTAAATGTGCTCTATGCTAAGATGTATATGTACCGGGTCTTCATGCACAATTGTAATCACCACTGTTTAGTGCATAAACTAGAAAACATGTCATTAGGTATCAGCCTATTCTTGTAGATGGACTAGATATGAGACAGGCATTTCATTTAAGGGATATATTTTTACGCTTTTATTTGTCCCACTTGTCACAGGTATATGGATGGTGAGGAAGCTAGGCTGTAAGCCATTTCTGAAACTATCAGTGTGGAATAACTAAGGTACATAGGGAAGCCAACACTTACACCCCTTCCTTTGTAACTCTTCTACCGCCTTGATCCAGTGAGCCCGGAAAGTTCAGTGGCCTGAGGAAAACATCCTTTTTAGAGGAGCAGGGTTCCCTCAACTCCAGTCTAGAAGTGAGCAAAGTTCTCATGTTGGCAGTACCTGCAGTATAGGACAAGAGAAGCAGCTGGCCCAGAAGGCTGCGTTTGTTCAAATGGTCATGGCACCTGTGAGCACTGTATTGCCGTGAAAGAGCTCAAGTCATTGCCTCTGCTAAAGTGCCTCCAAATTCCTACACAGTGGACTTAGAGCAAGACAGGGCGGTGGCATGATTGTTTTCCATTCTTGTTCAGTTGGGCTTACACATCCTCTCACTCCCGACAGGCAGAATAGGCTTGCGCCCACACCTGACTGGGCTCAGCTCTTCAGCGAGGGATTGCGTAGTTGCTCCGCCTGTGACTGCTGGCCCCGGTCTGCAGGCGGGAAACAACAGGCAGTTGTGTCCTGAGCCCTGGGAACTGGAGATCTTTCCACATCTGTTTGCCTAGTCGGGGGCGGGAGGAAATCACCAGAACCTTCAAACATGGGGCCAGGGCAGGGAGACAAAGGGGAAGCCTTAAGCCGATGGCGACCCCGGGTCATATGAGCACCCCCCCCAGGCTTCCCCCATCCCCTTTCATCCCCTCAGGTCCCCAACACTCAGCCTTTTCATCCTTCTCCAGGTCAGCAGGATCAGGTTAATGTGAGTTGACCAGAAAGCTTATCAAATGAAGGCAGAGGCAGGTGTTTGAAGCCCCTTCCCTGCTGAAAGCTGGGTTGAACAAGGTTAGCAGTGTAACTCAGGCCAACATCCTACAAGAATTGCATTTTCTTTCCTGGAGCTCCTCTTCCCCCTTCCTCGGTCTCTGGGAGCCAGTAACCAAAACAAACCATTCAAAAAATGAAGGATTTAGGGGAAAAACTTCGGAGATGTGACATTCTGGACTGGACAGCGGCCTTTCTATGCCAGAGCCTAGGAACTAGCATTTGAAGGCATCTGGCCACTTCCACTCAGTGGGTGTGCTGAAATCAGTTACTATGGGCTTATCAGAAGTGATTGCACAAACCTTTTCCCAACTTCACAATCATGATGTCCTATTTGTAGCTTGAGTCGACCAAGGTGGGAATATTTATACCACAGAAACCAGCAAGCTATAAACCAGGCGTTTCCACCTCCAGAGCCAGTTGTTAAACATTTATGGGCACACCGATGCCTCCACTGTAGCTATTGTCACTCAAAGTATGATTCTCAGACCAATTACCTAGGAATTTCCTAGATATCAGAAATAAGGTGGGGCGGCAGGGTTGTTATTTAACATGCAGATTTCCTGGCCAATCTGAATGAACTGAATCAGATTCTCTGGAGGTAGAGCCTGGGGAAATGCTTTTTAGCAAGTCCCTAAGGTTATTAATAAATTCAATAAAGTTTGAGACTTTCGGCCTTAGGGAGTAGGAGAAAAGAGTGGGTGTGCATCTGACTCTTGGCATCTGGAAGGAACAGCCGGCTTCAGTCCCAGCTGGCCTGAGAATGGACAGCTGTTTTCCCTCGAGATATAAACTTCGTGACAGGAAAAAGAGGTGGGAATTCTGGGGTCTCAGCTACCCACTGACAACATGACTGGTCCTGCCTTGGAACTCAGGATGAATCCATTTTCCAACTTGAGACTTTGACCCAAGGCAGCATGAGCAAATGTCCAGATGTATGTACAACATGGAGAAAGTCACCATCATTTGTACCATTGGTGGGGCCAGTGGAGCCCAGGGAAAGACCAGAGTCCGTTTTCCATATTAGATTGCCCAGGACAGTGTTTTTCTTGCAGATTTGTCTAGACATTATCAGCTTTCACAACCAGGCATGATTCTGTAAAACAAACACTTTGTTGACTTCATCCCTCTGAACTGGAAGGGAAGGTCTTTTAAGGCAGAAAGAAAAAGAGAAGAAAAGGAGAAGAGAGAAAGTTTCTTTGCCTAGATGTAAAACAGAAAGCTCATAAGGAGCTTAACTCTGCTTTTGACTGGTTTTGCACCTGCCTGAGGGAGTGGTTTAGACTGGGACAGGTAGTGTGAAAACAGAGCTAGTAAGTGCAAGAGCTGGGGTTTGGACCCCAATTTTTATGGCCAAAAAAAAACCAATGAGGCTGGGTGTGTGTAATCCCCACACTTTCGGAGGCCGAGGCGAGCAGATCACAAAGTCAGGAGTTCAAGACCATCCTAGCCAACATGGAACCCCCATCTCTACAAAAATATGAAAAAAATTAGCCAGGTGTGGTGGCGTGCGCCTGTAATCCCAGCTACTCAGGAGACTGAGGCGAAATAATCACTTGAGGGAGACAAAGGTTGCAGTGAGCCAGGATCGTGCCATTACATTCCAGCCTGGGCAACAGAGTGAGGTTCTGTCTCCAAAACAAAATTAAAAAACAAAAACCAATGTACTTTCCTCCCAAGCATAATACAGTATTTTTTCTACCTGTAATTGGAACACAGACGAATCCTTAATGGGCAACTAGGGTAATGACATTGGACATATGTATGCTCCAAGTACTGTGAATTCCTAAACCATCAGAGCCCCCTATATTCTGATGCAAATTCAGAAACATAATCCAAAGCCCCATGTAAAACTTATGGGGTTATAGGCAAGTAAATTATAAACGATTAGATTATTGGCTATTAGATTACCCACTGGAATGGATAATTGAGAGTCAACCATATTGATACATATAATTTAGGCACTCCTCATATTAGACACTTAAGCTTGTAGAAGTTTGCTAAGTTCATGATCCTGTGATCATTTCCTATACATTTGTTCTAACTCTTCAGGGCTGCCCACAAACTCTTCCTCACCCCCAGCACCCATCTCCACTTTAATACTGTTCATTCAGCACATACATAGTGAGGACTTACTATGTGCTACTTAGGGTGCGGGGAAGAACAGGAGACAAACCACCTGGTCTCATGAATTTTATAGTCTATTGGGAAACAGGTACTACACAAGTCAGTATAAAAATAAGTACGTGATTATGCATTGTCTTAAGGGCTGTGAAAGAAAAGCACAAGGTACAGAGAGAAATGTCAATAGCCCTGAAAGGCTGACTGCATCAAGAACATGTCCATGGAGACCGTGCTGATGGGGTTTTTGTTTGGATTGTTTTGGGTGGCATGCGGTAGGGGTAAGGGGACGTGGAGAGTTCTGTGTGATGTACTTGAAAGGGAGCTGTCAAGTAGGCCACTGAATATCCAAATCAAGAGAGTCTGGAGTGGAGAGGTGACTCAAACCCTGCACCTGGATGAAGTCATAGGGATGGAATGTCTGAGGAGGCAGCAGCTGGGGCCTGCTTCCTGGGCCACCCATATGCAGAGCTCAGGAAGGAGGCACTCCCAAAAAAGAGGGAGTCCCAGAAACCATTTGCAAAGGATATTTTACAAGTGGGCAACGTGAAAGTACCAACATCTGAAAAGCAACTCAGGCCCTGCAGGACATACCTGAGCTCCCCTCCTCTCTTCCCATGAGCCAGGCAGGCTGTCTGCAGGCCAAACAGTGATTTGAACTGGGGCTCTAGAATCTGAACAGCTGGCCATGTCTTGGACAGTGCTTCGCGACTCTACGTTATTACTGTCTGTTCCTTTCCTAGTCCCTAACTCAGACCCAAGCTCTTTGCTCTCTGGAGCTTCTAAGTGTGCAGGTATTGGGAAGAGAGCAAATAAACCAGTGCACACAGAGGTATGAATAATGTTTAACCAGCCAGTTCTCTTTGAGATATATTATTGTGAAGAGGCAAAACTAAATCTCTAATCTGTGGAATTTCAGGCAACCTAATACGTTTTTCAGGTGTGCCCTTGAGAGGGCAGCCCTTTCGAGCTGGGGCTGCCACTCTGTTCCCTTCTGGCTTCCCTGCTCTGTTCCTGCAGCAGCTTCTTTTCTTCCTCCCTTTCTGAATCCCCAGAGTCTTGAAAACATCCAGAATTTTCAGAGTGGTTCCTCTGGCCCCAGTGGCCATGCCCCTGACAATTACAGTAGCTAACATTTATATGTAATTGTTACATGTCATTGTTAGCCCCTCATATTAAACCTGTGCTAACCCTATGTTAAATGAAGTTAACCGTAACATAGTTTAACGTAGAGTTGCTGTGAAGTCAGCCCTTCTTCTCTGGGTGAGGCTGTGGCAGGATGAGAGATGGGTGTTGGTTGCCTGTGGACACACAGCTGGCAGGCTGAAATCGGAAGCAGGGTCTTGCTTCCAGTCCACACTCAGGGCCGCGTGAGTGGGCTGTCTGCCCCCACCTGGGTTTGCTGTCCTGAGAGGACAAAAGCAAATCCGTGCTCTGGTTCTCTGAGGCAGCTCTTACTAGACCCGGCTCAGTTTGACCCCTTTCTGAGGCTGGAAAGGAGGACAGCCCAGGTCAAAGCCCTGGTTGCTGATTACAGACAAGATGAGAGTCATGTGGGGTGTCAGCTTCCATCTCCTGAGAGAGAAAACCAAAAAAATGCTACCTGAATTTCCAGGATGAGGTCGAAGGCACAATCTTTTCAGGCCAAATCTCTTGGGCAGACTTGAAGAGACTGCATAAGAATATGGAAGTTTCCCTCACTGCTTCTGGGATGTCTGAATTCCTCCCTCTCTGGAATGGAGCTGTTGGAAGGCTCCAGAATCCTCCCTCTCCTGGCTCAGAGGCCCAGCTACACTTTCTAAAACGACCCAGAGCCATTTGATTTGAAGCATGTACCGGCTCGTGTGTGGAAGATGGTAATTACCTCCATTCCAGTTAGGAAAGCCGAAACCTGCCTTTTTCATGCCTCAAACAATTATCGAAGTGCCTTTTGAAGCTCTGGATAGAAGAGAAAAGCAAAACAAACCAGAGCCAATTAGAGCCTGGGATTTGAGGGTGGCTTAGTTTTGTGCAGTGGGACTTGGGAGGAACTGTGGGAGAGGGTCAGAGGTCACCCCGAACCTCCAGCTGCCAACCACCTTTGCCTGTGCCAAAAGACCATTATTTTGCGTTTAAAATCAAGGCCCCTCTCCCTGACTCAGGAACAATTTGCAGGAACAACCTCTGTGTCAGCTGTGAAGAGGGCTCCCTGATTAGATAAGGCCTGGAATGCATCGCTGTTGAACAAAACACTTCTCTGACAGCTTTTCTTACTCACCATTACAATGTTTCCCCCTCAGCCGAAACTTGGTAAGATAAAGTGAATCCCCAGGGACGCTTTTGTTTTTGGGTTACATATTTGAGAAATTTTTGTGGCCTGTGTTCCATTTGGAGTTAAGGTTCTTGGTCCCTGAAGTTCTTCCAGCCTGGGTGGGAGGATCTGGCCATTCAGAGGCAGGCTGTGATGAGAGTGGAAAGCAGATCCCAGGCTTGAGGGCAGAGGACAGCAAGCGGTCCTGCCGAGGGATGGGAAGCCTGAAGGCTTCTTAACAGACCCCCAAGGACAGTTCCGTAACATTCAACACTGCGGCAAAGCACAGAGCGGAAAGTGGAGTTGGGGCACGGGAGGCTGAAGCTGGATTAGAATGGACTTGGCCAAGATCTGTTCATGATGTCTGAGGCGGCCTTCTGGATGAACAGGATTTGATTGACTGTCAGGGCAACCTCACGCTGTCTGGGAGGTTCCCTTTTGGGTTTGGGTTAGGGTCGGGAAGACAGCAAGCACCAAAGAGCCCTGGGAGAAGCCACTCTGCCTTATTTATGTCCCTAACCCAAGCTGGATAGAGGAGCTTTCTCTTGGCCCTGGCATAAGTGCCCAGCTTTCCATCTGCCTATCATTTACCCACTCAGCAGTGGGCCTTGATAAGAAACAGCCTTTGTGGGAATGCCCCTTGGCATATGTGGGGAACCGTTCCTTTGTATAGAAAAAGTTGCCCTCCATATACACAGGTTTGGATCCGGCAAGTGCTATATTTTCAATCCGGAAAAATAAAAACCAACCTACATATAAGTAGACCCAGACAGTTTAAACCCATGTTGTTCAAGGGTCAACTATATTCCTATAAAGCAAAATGAAGAAGCATATTGCTTAGGAATGTGTCTGCCATGCTCAAAATAGAGTGAATATGAATGTTCTGGTGGCATCAAAATGGCCAGTTCTGTGACAGTGAGAGAAGAGGTTCATGTCTTATTTAATCTTTTTATAATAATAACAGCTATGAGGTATTACAGCTTTACCAAGTACCAGACACTGCTCTAAGGGCTTTGCATGGTTCACTCACTCCTTACTTCAGCCCTAGGTGGTAGGTGCTGTAATTATCTTCACGTTGCAGTCAAGGACATTGAGACAGAGAGAGGTCAAGCCACCTTCCCAAGGGTGCACATGGCATCTGCACTGCTCCTGACTGACCGACAGGGAGAGCTGCTGTTGCGATCCCCACATGAGCTACACATGTCAAAAGTTTAAAAAATATAAAAAGATGCATAAAATTTAAAAATTAAACCATTTCAGGCTGGACAGACAAAAACTGAGAGATGGCCAGAGCAGAGTATGACAGATAAATCTGTGGACAGAATAAACCCTGACAGTCTTGAAATCACGGGCCTTACTCCTCCACACTCCTGACAGGTTGCTTCAAGACCAAGAAATAGAAACACATGGTGAGTGCTACGTGTGCTGCCCTCGTACACACAGGCTGAACACACCCACAGGCTTGAAATGGCTTTAAAGCTCTGCCTAACAGATCCAAGATGCACAATGAAGGAATGGAAGCGTTCTTCTGAGATTTTAGAACTGAGTTAACTCACGTTCTCCTACAAACTCTCCCTTGTGGTCACTGTTCAGAAGGATTCCAGGCTGCCTGTGTCAATGATTTGACCCCACAGGTTGGTTCTTTTTTAGGTTCTGACAGGGAGCAGAAATTAGTTTTTGGACTTTGGGTTTTCTCAAGAAGATGGACATATCTGTAGTTCTTTAAAAGGCATCTGTGTGATTTCCCAGTCTTTTCTCTGAGCCAGGTCCCCAGGGATTTCTCTCCAGCATGTGGCAGAGACCACCAGCTGCTTCTCAGGCCCTCAACTGGGCTAAGAATGTTCATCATAGGGGTTTCCACCCTTTCCATCTGTGGCTTGTGATAGGCAGAGTAATGGCCTCCCAAAGACGTCCAAGTCCTGATCCTTGGAACCTGTGCATGTGTTACATGGT